GAGCCCAGGAGTTTGAGGTTGCTGTGAGCTAGGATGACGCCACAGCACTCTAGGCAGGGCAACACAGTGAGACTCTGTCTCAAAAAAAAAAAAAAAAAGTCATCTACTGAGAGCTCAATCAGTTCCATCTGTAGTTCTTTAGGTGCCTTGGTGATATCAACTAGGTGGGGCTGAAATGCTAATTTGAGTGTGATGTCATGATTCTCAAAGGCACTGAACCTTTCATTGTATTCTTCAATTAATAATAATAGGTCTATAACCAGCTGCGTATTCTTCAAATGATTCACATATATCATCCTGCTCATCAGTGACCTTTGCTAACTGGGGAAAATGTTCATCCAAAATTTCCTTTCCAAAGAAGAAGTGTTTTGAAAAAAACGATAACTTTTTTTGAAATACTTGGATTTTTTGCCACATAGACTTAGTTTTACCTTGCAAAGAAATATTCAAGTCGTTTTGATGTGACATGATATCACACAGAAATGCTGCACTCCTATAGAAATCTTCTTTCAATAATTGACATTGCTGATTCTGTTCTTCATAAAATTTAACTCTCTGTTCTCCCAGAGATAAAAATCTTGGCTAACACCTGTCCCTGCGATAGCCGACGCGCTTTAAAGATAGGGCAAATCCACACTGAATACTGCATCGTTCAACTTTAGCATGTTAAGGAGCTGATGAAACTGATGATACCGTGTTGCCTTTGCACAAATATAGTTGACAATACTTACAACTTGTTCCAAAGTGTCACTTAAAGTAGTAGCGTTAGCACAGGGATTTTGCTGGTGCAAGATACAATGAAAAGAAACAAGAGCATCTGGATCTGTTAACATTTTTTGATCTATGCAACAGACCCTTCATGTTTTCCTGTCATGGAAAGTGCACCATCTGTCATACACTCACTAAATTTACGAAATTCAGTCCAACTTCACAACATTTATCTTAAAAGTTGTCGAAGATATCTATTCCCCATGTTCGGTTCGCAAGAGTGCCCAAAGTGAGTAACAATTTGTAGCAAAGAAAATCTTCCATTTTGACCCAAATGAAGTATAAAACTGCAGTAGTGTCAGTAATATCAGTTGATTCATCCAAAGTGACTGTTTAATGTGTATTTTCCTTTTCCAGTATCGCATGAAGTTTTTCTGTTAAGTCGAAGGCAAATTCATGCTGCTGATTAGTTATGGTTCTCCTTGAAAGAGGCAGTTGTTTGTACTTTGAAACATAATCGAGGTCTAAGCATCGTACAACTTCAACAATGCATTCTTTCACAATTTCTACATCACTGAATGGCTTCTCTTTTCCCTCGAGTATGTAAGCTACTTTATAAATTGCTTCAGCGGCATTATTTTCAGGTTTTATTGCTGCTTGAAAGAATTGTCTTTGCTTTTGCTTTTCACCTGTTAATTTCTGCAATACGACCTTTCGCGCCTCTCCCTCTAATTTAAAATATTTGTGGCCCTTATGAGTGTTACAATGCTGACGAGCATTGAATTTCTTTAATGTTGCTACTGCAGTATCACAAAGCAAGCAAATCATCTTAAATTTAGCAGAAACAAGATGATATTGCAATTCCCAATCCTCATTAAAAAATCTGTTTTCTGTTTCCTTTAGCATTCTTTTGGTCTTCTTTGACACGATGGGCTGTTAAGCAGACAGGATTAAAAAAATACCGTCGAGCTGTGCAACTATTCACAAATTCCACTTCAAACAGAAACACAGTGCACCATTGTCAAAAGCTGATAACAGACTGGCGTACTTGACCCCCATAAACTCTTGCCAACCAGCCTCGTGCAGCAGGGGCGCCAGTCATGTGGGGGAAGTTAGAACACGAGTGTAGCAGCCGTCAGTTTAGCCCTCACAGCTTACTAATGTTCTAATTGTGTCGGTCAATCTGGGAGGTTTATTTCACTGAAACTTATTTTATTCTTTGGTATGTTAAATATGTTCATTTTACAACTATAAAAGATGAATAAAAACGTATTAATAAAAATAAAAGAATTTGTTCTGTAAAATTTAGATTCAGGCAAAAGGCTGCACTTAAGGACCTAGAAGGCCACATGTGGCCTTAAGCCGCAGGTTCCCCACCCCGGTCGCAGGGCCTGTTTTGCACAATTCTCCACCTCTCACTGCTCCTCAACCCAGGCAGGCCAGGTGCATCCAGACACACCCTGGGGAGCAGCAGGCGCGGGCAATGCTGCCCTGCTAACCAAGCCGAATGTCCTGGGAGCTGCTCTACATTCTGCCCTACTGACCTCAAGCATAAAATAGTCTAACTTGGGCCTGGTTCCTTTTGGGGGCTGCAGAGTTATGAGGAAAAAGCACAGATAGGGCGTGGCTGTGTTTCTGCACTCAGACGAAACCCAGTGTTTCCCGACGTGTTTGTGTTTTCCCATCGCGCTGGCTGCTTCCTGGAAAGGCCGTCAACCAGGACCCCCGCAGCCCCGGGCCCTCTCCAGGAGGGACCACCTCTCGGCCAGACAGACAGGCAGCTCCGGATGAACCTATACAAAAGTGCCTCCCACCTGTAAGAGTGAAGCCACGACCATGCCAAGGAAGGGACGACAGGCAGCTGCGGAAGCCGTCGGCCAGCAAAAACAGTGACTAAAAGTAGACGCTGCACCACACCAAACCCAGGGCTGGGTGGCCAGAAAGCATAACAGGGGCCAGCCAAAGAAACCGATGCTAAAACAGGCAACGAGTGACTCCCCACCCGGCACCAGTAAGGGTGTGGGTCTGTCTGGCATCCACGGGGCCGCTGGGGCCTGTGCCGTGCAGTGGCTGCCCGCACAGCAAGTGCAGCTGGACCCACCGAGCCCCTAATCCCAGTCACTCACGCAGCCACAGCTCTGCCTCTTCATCCCTGAGCCACGCGAGTGGCGACCCCACAGGAACCTGCCAGGCTTGATGCAGAGCGGAAGTTCAGCGCAGTTACTAAGTACTCTGTCGAATGGCAGTCATTGTTCTCAAGCTCAGACGTTTACAGAAAGGCCCCAAACCGCCGGGCATCTGTTCTCCAAGAACTAGGATGTGGGCCTCGTGCTAGGAGGCCCGAGGGTGACATATGAGGCATGACATTTCTCCTGAAGGGGACATCAGAAAGACCTTAGAAAGGCCAAGTCTCACACCCCCAGCCACACAGAGGCTCTCTGAAGACAATACTTCTGGTGACCCCATGGCTGGAAACCAAGTGCTGCTCACAGGTCCAAGACCACCCCATGACCTTGGCACCACCTAACAATCAGCTCTGTCCCTGCCCGCCAACCCACAGAGCCCCACAACTCTGTCACAACGCGCCCCGCAGCACCCCGACCGCCCACAGGGCGTCTAAAAGGCATCCCAAACTCAGAACAATTTTTGTCAAATCTCCGCTCCTCCTGCAGTGCTCTCTTCCAGTACCCGGCAGCTTGGACAGACCGCACACACGGGAATCCGCGCCGCGCCTCCTCCGGGCATCCAACCCCCACATCCAGCCCCCCTCACCACCACCACCTCCGCCTGGACCAGGCCACCAGCCTCCCGGCTGCAACTCCTGGTCTCTCCTCTGTCTGCCGCCCTCACAGAGGCCATGGGACCCTTGGAAGATGTTAAGTTGGATAAAACCCTCCGGGACTTCCACCCCACTCACAGTAACAGGCAAGACCCATCTTAGCCTACAAGGCTGTGGAGACCTTTCCCTGCCCCCACGTCCCTCTGTCCGCCACACTGGCCTCCCGGGGTCGGCCTCAGGGCCTTGCATGTGCTGTTACTCCTGCCCGGACGGTCTCTCCCTAACACACACGGCGCTCAGTCTCTCCAGGTCTCTGGTCAAATGTCACCATGTAAGTGACCACCGTGCACCAGAGACCTGCCCCCACCTGCACAACCCCGTGCCCTCCCCCTTCGGGGCTCTCCTCCTCAGTTCCAGCTCCACCAGACACACTTGTCCCTGCGCGTCTCCCCATCTCTCCCTTCAATGGGAAAGGCTCCTCTGCAGCAGGGACTCTGCCACACATGCTGACCCAGCGCTAGGACACTGCCCCACCGGGTCCCAACGGACACGCAGTAGAAACTTGCCAAAGAGGGAATGAATGACACTGAACACACCCGCCCTTGCCAGCCTTGGGTTTCCTCTACCTGCAGCATCTCCCCCTTGGCGCCCCATCTTCTATAATCCTCCCCCTCCCACGGAGGATCGAATGACATCTTTATAAGCCTCTGCCAATCCCTCTGCCACCAGACAGCTCTGCACAGGAGCCTTAGGGAGGGTGGCCAGCGTGTCCTTGTCCCATCCCAACCACTGCACCACGGCCCTGGGGGGTGGGGGGCTCTTTCCATGTTTATGAAAAATACACTTCTCCAAATGAGGACGGCCTCTGGAGGTCATGTGGCCAAACTGTCACACCAAAAGCAACCTGCACTTCCCCAGGCAGGGCGCACATCCCAACAGAGAGGAGGTCGGGAGCCCCTTCTTGAACTTCTTGGCAACAGGAAGTACCCTCCCTGCCAGGGTGCCTCCGGGCTTTTGGATTCCGGCTGAAGGAAAGCACCTGTCCTTGGGTTAAACTGCAGTGGGGTGGGGGTGCGCCCCTCGGGATCCATGCACAGTCAATCTTGCCCAGATGGTGCCCTGCGGACAGGTCCCAGACATGACCTGCAGCCCTTCCAGCGTCCTGACCCGCGCCGCCTCCTGGGGTCTCAAGCCCGCGGGGAACTGCGGGCCAGTCTTCCCCTCCCCCTCAGGCACCTCCTCGGCCCCTTTGTCACCCGGCCGGGAGCAGATACCCCCTCAGCGCGGGACATTCTCCTGCCAGCCACCGCCCAGGCCCCCGGCCCCACTCCGGGCCTCCGCCACGGCCGCCACCCGCCCCGGCCCGGATCCCCCGGCCCGGCCCGCGCCGCCGCCTCCGTCCCTCCCCGACAAACGTCCTGCGCGGGTCCCGCAGGCGACCGGACGCCGGTCCCGGGCCGAGCCAGGGACCCGCGGCAGCAACACTCACCCGCGCCGGGGGCGCCAGCTCCGGGCCCCGGGCTCCGCCACCAGCGCAGCAGCGCCCGCGCGGGCTCCAGGCTCACGGCGCAGCGCTGCTGCTTCACCCACAGCACGGAGCGCAGCGGCTCCGCCGCCCCCGTCGCCCCCATCGCCGCCGGCGCCGTCGTCAGCGGGCGGGGGGCGCGGACGCCGAGGGCGCGGGACCGTTAGCGGCCCCTGCAGTCGGCCCGGGCCGCGGCGGCGCGGGGCGGGCGGGGAGGGCGGCGCTGCGTCACCCCGC